GGTCGTAGTTCTCTTGGTGCCCATCACAGGGTCAGGCCCACTGCCACACTTGACATTGACTTAGCAGTTGTTGATGGTTAAATTAATGTTAATTAATCTTTGGTTGAATTTTTACCTGGTTTGGATGACACTCTACTGAGAGTCTTGATAGCTGCTATTGGATTCTTTTGGGAAACAGAATCAAATTTGGGATGCAATCTCAAGTGAAATGCCTTCTCCCAGATGGCTTTGGTATTAAGAGATATGGAAGGTTTTACAAATAATTAAAGCAATGGTAAGGAAAAACTCACAAACATATGACTCCCCACCAATACAGAATTAAGCCCAAAGGGCAAACTTAAAAATCTTTTTCACCTACCCACTAAAAAAGCCCATTGTCATTGAGTCAATTGCGACTCATAGTGACCCTATAGTGCGGAGTAGAATTGCCCTATAGGGTCTCCAAGACTGTAAATCTTTCTCCCACAGAGAGGCTAGTGGGGTTGAACCCGCTGACTTTTTGGTTAGCAGCCCAATGCATTAACCATTACACTACCAGAGCCCCATTATGTTGCTTGAGACCTCAAACTCCCATTCTAGGGGATTTCTCTAAGTTGAATCATTTTTATAGCATGTCTATTAAAATGGACAATACATCCCAGGTTACTAGAAATAGTTTCACAACAGGGTGGAGTTCCCTCTAACTTAACCAAGAGCCCTAAATGTACACACAGAGGAAATATTTATGCTGTTGCTACCAGAAGCCTGAAGCATTGTTTGACTTTCGATGTGCAGGAGGGCAGTGTTGATGACTGCTGTCCATTTGCTGGACTCACGTGAGGAGGAACTCATTAGGGCCCAAATGTTGACAGGTCAAAGCTGCTGACACTCCTAGAAGACAAAGAGTCTAGACTCCGCCTCTGTACTTAAAAGCTCCTCTGGGGCAACATGACTCAGTGTGCACCAAAGTGGCTATCAGCCACCATGAATAATGCCATAAATTTGCTTTTATTAAATTGTCTGGTTGTCTGTAGAGGTCAAAAGTGGGCCAGAGAAAAAGTTTACTAGGTTCATTTAGTTTAGAGATCTCAGGATAGAGTCACTCAGCTTTGTGCCTCACCCAGCCTGTGAGTAATTCCACAGGAAGACCTCAAGATAAACTCAGCTGTTTCATTCCTGGGTTTAAAGAAAGGAGGAGGGAGAACAAAAAGACTTCTTGGAGTGAGATAGAGTGTCATTAATGCTTTATTTACATGCGTCACCATCTCTTTTACAAACTAGATTACGATTTTAAATGGAATACACAAGGCAATATCTACAAACACCAAGGAAAGTACTGCATCTCTATTTCATTTGGAAAGGGGAAGATTCCCAAATCAAACTGGTTTTAATCCTTGAGAAGAAAGGCAGTAGAGTTAAGTCATGGCAACATATGGTTGGATAAAATCTTCAGTAAGAATGCAATTATGATAGTGTTCGCTTTGAAAGAAAGGATGAGGTACTTCAAATCAAAGTGTGGACTGCTTGACTCTTGGGTGTTTGAACATGGCCATGCACCAGTGATATTGATTTAATTCTAGTTTGTATGGGGTCTGAGCAAGAAACTGAAACAAGTAAGACAGTTTTACAGATACTGTATACAGTTTTTTTTTTTTTCATTCAAGCAACTTTTTTTTCTTAAAAAAAGTTAAACATGTGAAGCCAAAATGCACATTTTTTTTAATATTTACTGATTTTTCTGGTCCTCCACATCTGTGTATGTTTCCATGTACATAGTGTGCTAGGACAAGTGTATGTGAGAAGACTGATTGCCAGGCAATGAGATAATTTTAGAGAATTAAGTAACTAGACATACAGTTTTTGAAAGCAGCCACACAAATATTTCTGGAGTGTGGCAGAGGCCTTGTAACCAATCATTCATCAGAGGAAAATATGTACAAATAAAATTAAACCAGAAGAAAACATCCCATCATTCAAACTGCATTCAAAATTAAAAATGTTACCCACATAAGAGTTAGATCAAACACAATCCACTCTTTTCAGTTATCTGGGCACCTGCTGCAAGATCTCGTTTCACAGACATGATTTCACAAGAATTTCATGGACCCCCCTCTTTGTGCCACCTCTGCCACCCCCAGTCTCCAGGAGATGCTCAGTTCTCCCTACCTCTTCACCAGTGATCGCATTTTTATAAAACAATTTTGCTTTTCTTAGTTTTTCTTTAAAACATAATACCTAATCATACAGCTCACAAAAATACAGTAAGAAGAAAGGAAAAAGAAAGTCAGAGTCCGAGCTGTCAGGGTTTTTGCTTTTGGGGGGAAGGGTAACAATTTTATTTTGCCTAGCCCAGCCCTTGGCACTACCCCGTGAAATAGTGGGCTGGCTATTAGCTTTTACTCTTGAAGGTCTTTCCAAGATTCAAATATGTTCATTGTTCCTTAAATGGGGTTCATTAGGTAGAGGTGAAGTGTGTCCCTACCGTTCTTAAACTGTATGAACTAGTAAGCCACCTGAAATCAGTCCCCCCGCCCTCGACTGGTCATATCTGACATTAGTGTGCCACCACGTCCTCTCTTCAGGATAGAAGCAACGCACATGTAATGATAAAAATCAACACCCCAAACACACACACAGTCTGCCTTCTACTACACATGTGGCAGAAGTGTATTTGAGCCATCTTTATATTGCAGAGGGTTCAGTAAAGGAAAGCTACCTCAGCTTCATTCACAGTTAAAGGTTTACCTTAAACCTAGCAGCTCGCACCAGGACAGGGTAGGTTTAGGATAAAGCTCTTTTCTACCTTTGGTAAAAATCTATCAGCTTCTGGAGCCTAGAGGAGAACAGCCAGGCCACTGAGTTCACACCATGTTGTCAACATCGGCTACTGCTCTTTCTAATTTCCCCATCATAAACTAGAAGACTCCCTCCAGCAGTACTCATCAGGGGTCAAACATTACAGGTTCCAGCCCCGCCCCCAGGCTACTAAGTATTCTTCTGAGATGCTCCAGATCAGAAAACTTACTGTAAGGGACTGTGACCCTCAGAACTCGAAATGAGACAGAGGGCTCAAGCCACACCTTTGCTTGGTCTGTCTGCCTTAGAATCGGCTGTCTAAGGGACTTGATGTCTCCTGTGAGAGGCCAGCTGCGAGGAGGTGAGGGTGAGGGTCGAGGTGAGGGTGAGGGTCGAGGGGACAGCTATGATCCTTAACAGGCTTAGCTATCAGATTCTGGCCTCACCGCCTGCCCCTGGGGCTGGCAGGTCCCACAGTGCTGATGCTGGTGCTCTACTCTGCCCTGCTCTTAGCTCCCCATAACACTCCTCACATAGATGCTGTTTCAGTTGTTAACAACAACAACAAAATCCAAGGACACAAAACACTCCATTTCCCTAATCTGTTCTATTGCTGCCCTGTTCTCATACCTCCTCTCTCTCACCTATTTTAGATTAAATTATAATCTGGTTCTAGGACATGTGGTAAGACATTCCACCTGAAATCCAACAGACATTGGAACAGAAGACAATAAACAAGATGCAATATGTCTGAAAGGACTTCAGCATTTTTCAGCTGAAACTGAGGGCTGCCTTTCTTCCTCTCAAAGCAGCTCCCAGGGTTCCATGAAACTGCAAGGCTAACAGCCATCTCGTTAGTTACCCTGCTGATTTGTTTTAGCTCATGAGAAAACGGATCAGGGCCCTCATTTTGGTAGCACTCCAAGTTTGAACCTCCTCTCCTCCCTCCGTCCCTAGCTGCTGCCACTGCCTCCCAACTGCACCCCACTTGGGGCAGCAGCACTTGGGAAGCCAGAGAGGCAGCCCCCTTTCGCCGATTCTGGGTAGCTCTTGCATAGCTCCTGTGTAGAGCAGACTATGGAAGAATCAAGGAAGTGGCTGGCATCATGATAAAGGTCTATGGGAAGCAAGTCTGTCTCACTGACAAGCAGACCATCTGAATAGAATACGTAGTTTTAAAAATTATATATATTTTAAAAATGAAGATTATAAACTTGTAGCAGTTTAGAAAAGGCAATATGCTACAGGGCTACTATAACCACAACTGCACAACAATTTACAGATTCAGTTAAAGGAAGGGTGAAATCAACGGGGCCATCACTCAAACAATGACAACCTAAAGTGAGGCAGGAGAGATGTGTGACAATACCAAATGGAACTTCCATTATGCTAGGAGCTGTTATCACCACCAGTATCACCCCCAGAGGAGTTACAAAGCAAAGGTGCACAAGGGGGCCCCAGCAGATGGTGGTGGTGTGCAGGGGGGTGGGTGGCACGTCTGTGTTGGTGGAAGGGAGGCAGTGCCCACTGCACGATGCAAGCATCAGCCAGAACTCATGCAGGGAAGTCTGTGCTGAAATACTAGCCTGTATTCCTAACGTCCATGCATAATGTTCCATTTTTGTACTGTACATGATAAAATATATTTATACATTTATATGCCTAATATTTCTTTTTTTATGCGAAGAAAGGAGTCTTCATATATCACTTTGGAGAAGTACGCATATGCTGTGCTAGTCAGAGTGTCATTTACCAGTTTCATATGAACCAAAGGTGTTCCCAACTGTTCTCTCTACCAGGAGGGTAACAGATATAATCACACTTTCCAGGTTAACAGAAAGCACCTATACAGCACCATACTTTTTGAAAACAAAACAAAATGAAATTCATAGAAGCAGAAAAGTTAAAAAAAAAAAAAAAAGTTAAAACTGCCCTATCTTGCACTTCCACTGTATCATTTGTACGATGATAATCTAAGCTTATACATTTAAAAAAAAAAATCAGCTTGTATGCTATTGCCTTTCATTCATACACTTTTAGTAGATTAGGTTATACACAGCAAGGTTGAAAATCATCAAAGGTGTGTTTTTAGGGAAACAGTGAAGTAAGAACTACCTCAGCATGGACTCGGGTTTGTACTCTTGACACATTTCACACCCTAGACTTAATGCTCACCTATAATTTCATTGCTTCTGCAAAGCAAACAGAATTACTTTTTTTCCTTTTTTCTCCTTAAAACTAAATCCTTTAGTGGCATTTGGCAATAAGTGGACTGCTAAGCTGATTTCTTTGCTGAAAAGAGCCTAGTTTCTAACCAACAAACCAACACTGTTCATTCACTGCATTAGCTGAGGCTACTGTCAGGAGACCATAGCCCCTATAAATCTGGCAAGTGCAGACCAGGTGCTGGGGGGCTCGTCCACAGACTGCCCTTACTCAGAACTGAAAATATACTGGGCCGGACTCTGCACTTCACGTGTTTTGCCTATGCAGGGTTCAGTCCTAGACTGGTATGCATAGCAAACAATTGTGCCATTGTTCAGTTTTTAGAAAAGGATAATTTTCTACCAAACAAAAGAAGAGAGAAAATTCCCCTTAGTTTATGTAATAGGTTAGTTTATGGAGTTCCATGGGCTCAAAAGCTTGTGATGTCCAAAGCTGGAATGGTAACTGGTACGACATTTTCTTTCTGTTTTTAAATTTGCCAGGGGAAAGACAGTTGACATTTTTACAGAAAAAATACTGCAAGTTACTGCATGTGAAAAACTGAGTAAGCCAAAGGAAAACAAAGACAAAAACAACAGTTAAAACATCCCATAAACCATCGCAGTATGAAAACACCACAGAATCGCCAACGGGGGTTCATGGTGTGCTCTAAAGGTGGGTGGTGCTGACTGGGTGCCGTCCTCCGCTGGCAGGTGTCTCATCACGCTGTACAAGGAAGATTTTGCATACTTTTATAGAGTTCTGTTCCAAGGGTAAGTGCTTCACCGGGGCAAGGGACCATTAACAGTCTCTGCTGGGTTAGGAGAATGGTGTGGGATTCACAAAGGTGGTAAGCTGTAAACGGTATCACTGTCCACTTGCTGAGAGCAGATTTGGCAAAGGATTTTCTTTGTAGGTCTTGTGTCAGTTTGAGGGTCTAAAGGAGAAAAGAAAACCAGAGGTTGATTATTAAGGACGTTCAAATAGCAACACTGGGCATTTCAGGATCACACTTCATCCGCTTCCTGTTTCCTATATCCCACCTCTGAACCCAGGATACTTGCAGAAAAGTTGTTTTGCTACATGTTTCAAAAGGTCAGAACATCTAAGGATAAAACATGGACACTACTTACCTTCTCTGCTTGAGTGCAAAGTGCTTGAAAGGTGAAAAACCCAATGTCAAAAAACCAAAACCAAATGTTAAGTAGGGTTATTTACTTTGGGAGGTTAACAAAGAAAGACAAGCCAGGCATGTTATATTGAGTCCCTTTAAGTTAAGGATGTCCAGGGTGCAAATGGAATTTTGTTCTGGACTTCTGGATTGAGGGGTTTCCTGGGACATGAGACTTTTGGTGGTAAAACCAGGAAAGCTGGTTACCCTAAGGAGCCCAGGTATACTTCTCTGGTTCTCCGCCCCCGTCTATGTGAAGTATCAGATCTCGAGTACCACTCTTTCCATCAGTATCACAGTGCCAGGGGAGGTGGACGTGGCCACTCTCCACAGGCTTAGTAAGCTGGCACTACTGGGTGTGGGTAATCTTGATTCCCCTTCCACAGGAAGAGCAAGTGATCTCAAGGTGGGCAGCCTTAGACATTTTTTATATTAAAAACCTGCAGGGACAAAATTACACGGCATACACATAGGACCAAATTACAGATTCTTCACAGAACATCACATTAACAACTAACGGCATCATCACCATCATTACTCCATCAATGGAAAAGCACACGCAGGAAGTCCACAGAGTTTAGGAATTATACAAGTCTAACTGGACTTCACATGACCGCCGAGCCCAGAAAAGTTAGAGGATTTTTTTTTTTTTTTCAGTAAGTGTATGCTCGTAGAGATGTAGCTAAAAGACCTGACATGATGGGCCTCAAGACGTAAGACCTTTTGTTTATGGAAAATACAGTGTCGGCTGTCATGGCAATTAAAAAAAATGGCTCTAGGCCAAGAAATGGATAGAAAAGCAGTAGCGAAGCAACAAGAAGTCACTGTCTTCTCACTGGATCAGATGAGCAAGTAATGGCAAACACATCAACAAATTCACAAATACATATGTCACACACATCTGCTTCTCCCCCTCAGAAGAGATGCCATCATGTTTATTTGGAATTTTTACAAGTGTACTTGGAACTGCGATCTCTTTGGGAACTCTGTGCTTCCTGGCAACCTGGCCTTTCTTGCACCAATATTCAGAGAGAGAGCAGGGCTTAGTATTTACATACCCATGTTACATACCCACGATAGCCATGTTATAGACCCAGAGTCATACTTACCCTGGCTATTGCTCCAAATAGAAGAATTACTAGAGGCAGAGACAACAAAGCAAGAAAAGAAGGTGATTTCTTCTTGCCACCCATCCTGTTTCCCTGACTGAAGATTCTCTAGAGGCACTGTTTGCTTTGTAAAGGTACTAGATAATGTAATCCTGGACTATAAAATGACCGCCTGTTGATTTCAGAGGGAGCAAAAGTGAAAAGAAGTACTAGACCTCAGAGTGTGTGAGGAATTCAGCCCGCTACAGTCAGCGCTGCTCTAGCTACTTGACCTGGTGCCCCTGAAGCAGGAATAGACAAAGGTCCAAAAATGGATCTTTGCAGGGGATTCGTTGTTTCCCTTCACAATAACAATTAATAAACCATAGTCTAACATCACTATGCAATTAGTCATCAGAGGACTACGGTCCCCAAATCCCGATCCTGTCAGTGCCAAGGGAGAAGCGAGAAAGTATTACCTAATTCAGTCCCCCTCCCCCGGTCCCCTCTGGGGTTAATTATTTAGCCATGGAAACTAGTACATAATGGGAAGGTGACATACGTCATTCCCCAAGAACAGAAGAAAGCATGCAGCCTGTTAATGCTGGGCCAGCAGAGAACGGAAGGAGACAGGAGGCAGAAGGACCCATGACCCTCACATGGCATCATTCTAAGCAGAACAAGACATCAGCTCGGAAAGCAGAGGCAGGAGGCCCACCTCACACCATCTAGAGCAGCAACCAGTACCAGTGCCCAGGGCATATACCCACTCCCTCATCAAAAGGTCTGGAATCTTCAGGGAACCTCATCATTAAAACAGAGATGCACTCATCATCACTCTTTCCCTGACTGTGGAATGGGGCTGGGGCCACCGGTGACGCTAAGTCCTGGAGCCTCCCCGAGGTCTCAACAGCAATGCCCTCTCAGGGAGGCCTGCTCAGGAAGGTGCCTCTGGGCCCACAGCTTGGGCTGGTAGAGGCCCAGGCTTAGGTTTGGAGGCAGCTCTTGCAGAGGACACATTTAATAAAGAAACTCCTACTCCACAGAACAGAACGGCAACTGGTTGTCTCTGTGATAGAAGGAAAACAGATTGCAAAATATTGTGAAAACATAAAGGAGCCAAATAAATGTTGAACAGAAATACAATTATCCTTCTAAGAGGCACACCAATCATAATCCACTCTGAAGACTAGAGTAATAAAAAATCATCCCAAGGAAAGCGGCTCCTCATCTGTCTTAGATTTTTAATCATTCCTTTGTGGCTCACTGTTTGCACATATTTATTTGACTCAAGCAAGGACTGAAAGAGTAGAGGGAGCATATTAAGTGATGAAACCAGTCACTGTGCTGGGAATTAAATGGTACTTAGGGTTGGGTATATGTTTCATGGGTTTCAATGAAGCTCACGTTTTACAATGTTTAAAGTATGGCATTTTATGTATATGAACGTGTATATGCATTCATAGCCTTCTAGTCTGAAAACATAACAGATAAAGCAAAGCTTTTAGAAGGAAAAGCAAGCAGGTAACTGATGATAATGATAGTGATTACTTCATAGTTAGGAGGCAATATGTCAATCACGATCAGTATGAAAATGTCCTATCCCATCAGTGAATTTCACTAATAGAGAGAAGACACCCCTGTCCCACCCAATAAATAAGTTTGAAATCAGACAGCTTCTAAAAGGAAAATGAAATAGGGAGACGAAATGATGAGGCCCAGTCTAAAAATATCTATAGATGCTGTCATTTGGTCTCTGGTGAGAGTAAGTCCCTCTATAATCTTGGCATCTGCAGGGAAGGCAAGTTTCTGCCTAATTATTGCCACTAAATCACATGATGTTCTAAGAAAGGGAAACACCCCCCAAAACCCCACACAAAACAACCTCGGATCAACTTTAATCGGAGAATAAAACACAAATATTCCTACTGCTGTCCTCCCACAACTTAATTTCACTGTGAAAAATTTGGATTTTTAAGTAGTATTTTTATCTTCTTGACAGAGAAGAAAGAACAGGACCCCAATACCAAATATGAGATAAATAGAGAAGACAGAGTAGGATGAAACCCTCAACACATACAAATCCTTGGAGATTAGCAACTACATTCCACAGCTGGAGCTAAAAGACGTTCGGAGGAAGGTGTGCTTGAAAAAATTAACGTAAAACAGCACTTTCCTCACTCTATAACAAGAAAAGATAATTTATTTGCAACCCCTGGAGCTGGGGACTAAATATGGAACATTTAGGACAGAAAAGGAAATGAACTGGCATTCATTCAGTCTGACAAGGAAGTCTCACTTGGAGTTCAGAAAAACAGGTGTGGGTTTCAGAGTAAACCCTGAGTAACTGAGCCACCATCTGCCTGCCACCATCTCTGCTTCACCCCTAGAACCATTTAAGACACCAACCATCATGAGCCATAATCATCTATCAGTATCCACCAAGGCTTTCTTAGCTGGTGCTACCCAGGAAAAGCTGCATTTTTGTGGATGTTGGTTAAAAAACAAACAAACAAACAAAAAACACCTCACTGCCATCAAGTTGATTGGACTCATAGCGACCCCTCCTTGGGTTTCCCAGGTGGTATCACTACGGAAATAGATTGTCCAACTTTCCTTCTGAGGAGTGGCTGGTGGGTTTGAACCACCAGCCTTCTGGTTAGCAGTCAAGTGCCTTAGGCACTATGCTACCAGCTGGTAGCCATGTCTAATTGGAGCTTCAAAATGGAGTTCATCTTCACAGGCAAAATACCAAGCAGCTCAAGAAAATATATTAACATCCTTCAAATGCTACCATTTCCAAGAAGCATTTCAGAAGACCAACTCAGATGTGTCAAGATTTAGTCTTATTTGAATCCAGACAGAATCTACTGTTTGTAGGATAAGACTTAGAATTTGGATTTTTTTTTTTTTTTGCGCGGGGTGTGGGGTATTGGGAAAGATGGTTCCCAAATGCTCAGTTTCTAGGACTCATTTCTTGTAAGATAAAAATCTACTAAGGATCAAGCTACCCAGTAACTATTACTGTAGACTCTGACACCTAGCGACCCTATAGAAAAGAGGAAAACTGCCCCCTAAGTATTTCTAAGGCTGTAATCTTTAAGGAAGCAGACTGCCACTTCTTTCCCCCAGGGAGCGCCTGCTGGGTTCCCACTCAGCACTTACCCAGTAGACCACCACCAGTGCTCCTTAAGTTATACAATGCATGACATAATTTTAACATTCCACTAATTATTCCCGCTTAAAGTTTTTACAAGGATTTAACAAAGAATTTATCTTCTTCCAACCTTTCTTCACATCCCACCCTATACACTCTAGCACCAGCCTGAAATCAAGAATCTTGCTACTACTTTAAGTTGCTGCAGTTGCCAAAGTGATTCACCATTTTAAAACAAAAGAGAGCTATAGTTCAAGAGGAAATGCTTAGAGGCAAAAACCATGATCTGAATATCACAATGTTTATATTTTCTGGGTGTGACCCTATCCTGTAGGGTTCTTCACTGCATTTGCTGGGGTGGGGGAGGTGATGAATGACTGGGAGGGTACAGTCACCCCCTTCAGGCTGGGATGCCCCAGATCCCTTGAAGGGAGGGTGGAAGAGTGAAGGTGTAATGCTCCCTGCAAATCTAAGGGTTTGGCTACCAAGTCCAGAAGAGATAAGTCCTTGAAGTTCTCCTA